CTGATCCCTATTCCCAGCCCACCTTAAAAGCCAGGTGCTGACGCTCATCCTGGCTCTGCATCTGGTTTCCATATCATGCGAGTCCGGGACCTGGAAGCGCCTGGTCCCGTTAAGGTTTTAATCTCTGTTCCCGTTCCTGTTCCCTGTCCGCCGGTTCCGACCCGGCCTCTGGTTTTAATTCCTTGTTCTGATGGATCTCCTGGTTTTGGACTTACTCGTGTGTTTTTGGATTCCCTCTAAGGATTATTCTTTGGGATTGTTCGCCTCGGCCACACCTCCCCCGTGCACCAGCGCACCTTGGACACGCCCCCCTGTCTTCAGCCCCGTATCCCTGCATGACGTTTCCCCAGCGTTTCCCCACTTCTTCGGATTGTGTCGTCTGCATAGGGTCCGGAAAGAACTGTTCGTTACACCTGGAGGGAGACAAGCCATCGGGTCACGTACCCCCAGAGACTGTAGTTATTTCTTCTCCTCGTGGAGCTCCGTTTCCCTCCTCTGTACCTGATGGTTAAACTGTTCCTCGATGATACGCTAAACCACATCCACTTACACTGGTTCCCTGTGATCGCCTGTATTGTATAACCCTGTCTGTGTAGCCTGTGTAAATAACCGCGAAAGTCCTATTTCATGATGCCGGGTCGTGAAGGGTGCTATGCAAACCTGAAATGGGACTGGAAACAAAAGGCGCCGAAATTGAAAAAGAGCTGATGTGGCATCTTCACTGCGGCTTGTTCACCAGCGCCTGGACACAGGGCCCCTTCCTGCTACACTGACACCACAGTGCAAGTGTCGCCTGCACATTCCGAGTGAAAAACTACTGGTGCTTCAAGTTAAGAAAGCCTGATAAAAGCCTTCAGGCAGAAGCATTACATAAACATTTATCACTGAATAAATGTATGCAGCACCTGGCAGAGCCCACAGCTGCTTCCTGCTCACTCACAGCTGAGACTTGCTTTGTGAGTGGCACCTGTTCCGCACTCTGACTACAGATCCCGGTCTGTCGGGGGCCTGTCTGTCCCACCCGCCGAGTCACATGTCACGCTAGCCCTGTGAGAGGTCACCCTGCCATTGGGAGACCGTGCCGTGTGCTTAGAGAAATATCTCCATTGGATGTAGCAGGTTTTAG